ATGGGGGGGGTGGATACTACTGGAAATGAAGTTGTAGAGAGCGCAGGAGCACTGTAGCTTTGATGATTGCAGGGCTTCGTTAGTCTTTAAAGTCGTAGTGCCATGCAATACACAATTCTTGTCAGTATGAACTACCTTAAAAATGTCATTTAAGATTTTCCCCTTACTGGATGAATAGCTTTAAAATTAACAACAAAATTTGCCCTTTAAGAAAGTGACTTTTAGCCAGGTGTGCCTGTAATCCCAGCACTTGGGGAAGGCAGAGGCAGGCGGATTTCTGTGACTTTGAGGCCAGCCTGGTCTTCAAAGTGAGCCCAGGACACCCAGGGCTACACAGAGAAAGAGAGAAAGAGGCCCATCTCAAAAAAAAAAAAAAAAAAAAAAAAGAAAAAGAAAAAAGAAAGGAAGGAAGGCAGGAATAAAGGAAGGAAAGAAAGAAAAAAGAAAGAGACCTTTAAGAGCAGGATGGCATAGCAGATGGGGAGCTTAGGCTTCATGTGGGTCCTCTAGTAAGAGTCATGGGGACTGCATCTGATGCGAACTCGCTTGCCAGCTCTTGATCCCTTCCCCCTGGTGGAACTGCCTGGCCAGGCCACAGGGGAAGAGGACATGCTCAGTCCTGATGCAACTTGATGAGCTGGGGTGGATGGGAAAGGCTGAGGAAAAGGTGAGAGAGAGGGAGGGAAGGAGGAAGGAAGGGGAGGACGGGGGGGGCGCGGAGAAGAGGGATGGGGCTACAGCAAGGATGTAAAGTGAACAACAACAACAAAAAGAACAGGGTGGGGACTAAGATAGCCTACAGAACTCTATTTCATTCAGTCATCAGCAGGCCACAAAAATGGTAACTACTTTCATTTTCCTTGAATACCTGAGCTCCTGCCTTTGTTTTACACACACAGCATTGGTATTTAACCTTCAGTGGCTCATAGACACTTTTGAGAATATAGTACCAAATATGGCACCTCTTCCAAGAAATACACCCAAATGCACACATATACTAGAGGCTGAGTAAAATAAAATAAGGCATTTTAATTTTTCTTTCTTTTTGAGAATTGCATACATGTATACAATGAAATATGATCATGTCTACCTACTATTTCCCTACTCCAACTCCCCCAATATCCTCCAACACATCCCTTTCCAGTTCTCTCTCTTTCTCTCTCTCCCACGAAGTCTAGTTTCCAAGGGAAACCGACCACACTTTAAAGTAGAATAATTCTTCCTCTTCAACAACTATCTACTGCCAATAGTTCCTCAGTAAGGGGTGGGGCCCAGAGGTCACTCATGCTGAGATTTTGGCTGACTCTACCTTGTGCAGTGGCCATAGCCATGTCAGGACTAGAACACAGCACCTTTGAGCACATCTTTCCATCCCATCCCCCAGCCCTTACACTCTTTCTGCCTTCTCCTCCGCTACATTCCCTGAGTCTTAGTGGTAGAGGAGTTAATGTGGATAGCCCATTTAGGGATGAGAACTCAGTCATTTATTCTCAGCACTTTGACTAATTATGCATTTCTGTATTGACTGCTGCCCCATTTAAGAAGTCTCTCCAACCAAAGCTGAGCGAAGCCAGGACTGTGGTTACAAGCATTAACTATTTAAGAAGGTGTTTAATAGCCAAACTATTTAGCAAATAACAAAAGTAGGTTCTACCCTAAGCCTTTGACCTTCCCACCCATGCATGGGCTTCAGACTGGTGTCCAAACTGTGCTAGTCTATCCTCCCACTATCAGTTTACACAGGTTTCCCTTCCCCCAACATCTCCATCAACATGTGTTCTCATGTGCATTATTGATGGTGGTCATTCTGACTGGGATGAGAATAGACTCTTAACATAGCTTTAATCTGCACTTCTCTGATGTCTAAGGAAGTCAAGTTGTTGGGAACAAGCAAAAGAAACTTGTCCTAAGTGCTGCTGTTTTGTTTTCAGACTCCATTTAATCATAGGGGGAAACTAAGTTCAAGGTTCTAAGCCCCAGGGTAGCTGAGGACTTCCCAATCGCTGAACAGCTTCTGCATTCATCTTCTGTTCCAGAACATAATGACTGTCCCTAACCACAACTCCCGTAATTCATCCTCTAAAACATAATGGCTGTTCCTGTCTACAAAAGAACAAATGGATTTGATTGGTTGGGGTAAAACCTACATTCTATATCAGTTGACATAGCCCAGCCACATAAAGAAAGCCCTTCTCTCTAAATCCTGATTGGTGGGAAAATATAACTTGGCACAGATGTTTGTTATTTTCAAGCTTAGACAAACGCTGTAATATCCTGGCTGGGGGTAGGAGGAGGCCGCCGTTCAGCTCCTGAGTCTGTTCTGCAGCCCTGATGGACCAGTAGCAGTTTGATGGCAATAAAGTTTTGTCACCTGCATTGACCTGGTGAGTAGTGTCAGATCTAAGCAGATCCCACAACATTTTAAAAATGCTTCCTAGCCATTTCTATTTCTTCTTTTGAGAAGTTTCTGTCTAGTTCTAAGGACAATTCTTAAATTGGGTTATTTTCTTAACGTTTACTCTTGAGTTCTTTATATGTTCTAGAGACTTGCACTCTTCAGTGTATAGTTGGCAAAGATCTTCTTCGCTGGATTCACAGCTTCACTTGCTGTGCAACTGTCTTGAGATCCCACTTACTGATTGTTGGGGTGATTTTCTGTGGTAATGGGGTCACATGCAGGAAGTCCCTACCTGTGCCTACGACTGGAGGTCTTTGTCCGTGCCTGGAACTACAACTATGAATCCTACTTTTTCAGAATATCAGGTCTTATGTGGAGGGTCTCAATCCATCTAACGTTGAGGGTTTGTGTTTTTTTTTTTTTTTTTACCATAAGACTTTGATGAATTCTTTGAGAATTTCACATAATATATTTTGACCATATTCACTTCCTCCCTCAACTACTCTCAACTCTCACTTCCTTATCCACCAACTTCTAGTCTTTTATTTTATTTTATTTTTATAAAAAAGATGAGTCCAATTTCCGTTGCTCAACCACTCTTGGTTGTAGGGATCTCTGTGGACTGTTGCCAACCTGCCCAGGGTCATACCATTAACGAAAACCACCCCCCTCTTTCTCCTAGAAGCTAGCAAATGCCAAAAATGCCTCAGCTATTGGTAGGACTTGTGTCCACTTTTCATTTTCGTGCTGTGATTTAGTCTGGCTTGAGCTTCATGTGGGTCTTACGCAGACTGTCACAATCATTGTGAATTTACGTGTGCAGCTTTGCTGCTGTGTTCAGAAAAACAGTTTCCTTGAAGTTATCACCACCTCTGGCTCGTACAATCTTTCTGTCCCCTCTTCTGTGAAGATCTCTGAGCCTTGGTAGGGAGGGTGTTGTGTGTCCCATTCGGGTTTGAACATACCACAGTGTTTTAATTCTCTACATATTGATCAGTAGGGGGGGAGGGTCTCTATGTTCATTGTCATCTACCGAAAGAAGCTTCTCGGAAGAAGGTTGAGAGATACACTGACCTATAGGTTTAGCAATAAGCTATTAGGAATCATTTTTAAATACTATGTTCAACTAGCAGAATAGCATGGTTGTTTTTTTTCCCCCCAGGGCCTATGGCCTATCTAGCCACAGGTTCTTGGTTCCATTCTTAGTGGCAGGTGTGGGTTCCATTTCACGGAGCTGGCTTTAGATCCGAGAAGAAAGTGGTTGGTTACTCTTGTAACATTTGTGCCACTATTGCACCAACAGAGATAGTGTATCGGCCGTTGTACCTCACTGGGTTCACAGCTGGGTGAGACTGAGAGTTATTTTTATCTTCCAGCAACAGGCCTGACATCTTCAAGCACCGTGAAAACTGCCCAGCAGGTGTGAAGCTTTCTCCATGCCCTATGTATAATTCAAATTTGTAGTGTCTTTAGTAATAGGATCTTACTGTCAAGTTCTGGCGGGTAAGCAAGAGCATTAACAATAGCTTATAATGTCTAAGTGTCTGTGGAATCCCACTTACTAACATGCAGTTGAGTTTTTGGTGCGAGATAAAAGATAAAAATCTCTTTTCATTCCTCTGCATGTTGATAACCATGTTTCCCAGTGTCATTTTTTGAAGATTTTGCTCTTCCTACAATGTATATTTTGTCTTCCTTGTCAAAAAATCAGATAGGTATAGCTACATGTACTTTCAGGTCCCTGATTCTGTTCCACTGAGCTATGTATCTGTTTGTGCCAGCACTGTGGGATTTTTTTTTTTTTATTACCATGGCTCTATAGTATAATTTGAAGTCAGGTGTGGTAATTCTGCCTCTCATATTCTGTTCGATACTGTTTTAGCTAGCCATATAAATTTTGACATAGTTTTTTCCTATGTCTATGAAGACTGGCCAGTATAAGATGAAAATAAGGTTTAATTTTTTTTTCTATTATCATGGAGGGGGCATATGCGCAGCATCACACATGTGTCAAGGTCAGAGGACAACTTTGTGGAGCTGGTTCTCTCCTTCCAACGATATGGGTTCCAGAAATTGAACTCATGCCGTCAGACTTGTGTGGCTGCTGAGCCACACACTAAATCATCTTACTGGTCCCTTTTTTGTTTTGCTTTCATTTGAAACTATTTTAAGAACTCAACAAAAAAAAAAAAACTTGATCCAGGACTTGAGGAAAGTTGATATGATCATCTTAAAAAGTTAATTTGGAGTTGTTGTTCAAAGTTACAACTCCAAGAAATCTTTCGTAATGCCCTGAATTTAAATTAAATAACTCAAATGCTAATAATCCATATTTAAAAATTCCAAACTGAATTACAATGGAAGGCACACTCTTGGTGTTTTGCTTGTGTGAGCTTTTTTGTTGTTGTTAAATGGGGGCCCATGTTGCTCATTCCAGCCCTTGAACTTCTGATCCTCCCGTGTTGACATCACCACACCTCACCATGCTCTTTTATAATAAAATGTATACTCTGTTCACTTGCGGTTCCTCCATCAGAAATTCCAATGTACTTTGCTCGTGTTAATAGATGAAAATATTATGAAAACGTTTTCTACACAATGAAAAGCTTTATCACCATCAATTTTATTAACTTTATACACATGTACAGCATAGCTCGCTTTGATCCATTCAATTCAGTGTGTTTTGGTTTATTTGTGGTGTTATGTATCCACCACTAAAGCGGTTTCGGAAACATTGATCAACCTCCGAAGATATTCTGTATCTATCAGAAGTAATTTTATTTCTCACAGTTACAGCCTCAGGCTACTTATCTACTTTGTCCACAGATCTGTATATTCTGGAATTTCATACCCATAACCATAGGACATGTGATCGTTTCTGCCTGCCTCCTCTCCCTTAAAACTGTGTCCTAACCCAGCACCATGTTATAACACGCGTCAATTACTTCACACGGCTAAAAAGTGTCAATTGCTGACATATGCCACTTTTTGTTGATCCTCTAAGGCACATCTGGGTTGTCAATTTGGGGTTATTATGAATTATTCTACTAGCAACATTTTGAGTAAGTTTTTGTGATGCAAGGCAAAAAGTCAAAAGAGAAGAATTCTTGTATTACTAAGTACATTTCACTGAAATTTTCAGATAGTGCAGTAAGAGGTATAGAAAACACAGTCCTGAAATCTGGCCAATAGAATCATGAGGTAGAAAGATACAGAGAGGAGCTTTTGCTGACCAGTTATCATCATCATCATCATCATCATCATCAATCATGATGTATACTTGAGAGCAATCTCTTCGGATTCTAGGAATGAACCACACTGGAATTAGATGCCAGTGTAGTTGGCGAAGTGCAGATGGCTAAGTCATAGTTTACTGCTGTGGGGCCCTGCTAAGCTTTGCCATTCTTTCAAAGGAGGACTTCCCTGGGCAACCAGCTTTCGCAGGTAGTTGCTGGGCTCTAGCTGGGGGACATCAGGGTTCTGTCTGTAGTATTTCTGCAGTTTCTCTAGAACCGTGGGCAACCCAACGGAGGCAGCATAGTGCATGGGCCCGCCCGTGTGCCTGGGCCACCCGTACCCGTTAAAGTAGATGACGTCAATGTGCTCTGGGCTAGAAGCCATCCCCTCCTCCAAGATGCGGAATGCCTCATTGATAAGAGAATACAAGCACCGCTCCAGGATCTCCTCCTTGCTGATGGAGCGCTGCTCGATGCAATGGGTCTCTCTATACTGTGAGAGGAACTTGGCAAGCCAGGGATCTGGCTTGTGAACCCGCCCCAGCGGCTTGTCATACTGATACCAGCCCTTGCCTGTCTTCTGACCAAATCGCCCAGATTCACAGAGCATATCAGCAATTGGGGAGTATCTGTTGTTGCCCCGCTTTCGGGCAGGAGTTCCTGGTGGCAATGATGGCCCAGTAAGGCCTTGCCCCATGCGAACTTTCCAACCTATATCTATCCCTGAAAGGTCAGATAGTCTGAAGGGTCCCATTTTCATACCAAACTCTTCTAAGACCCCATCTACCTCCTCTGGCTTACTGCCTTCCTCTAACAAAAAATACGCCTGTTGGTTATAGGGAGCAAACATTCGATTCCCAACAAATCCGTAGCAATTGCCGACAACGACGGCAATCTTTCCAATCCTTTTGGAGAGGCTCATCACAGTGGCGATGGTGCTGGGGGAAGTGTGCCGGCTGGGAATGACTTCTAGCAACCTCATGACATGAGCTGGTGAGAAGAAGTGGGTGCCAATCACCAGCTCAGGGCGACCCGTGGAAGACGCGATCTCATCCACGTCCAGCGCCGACGTGTTGGTGCACAGAAGGGTTCCCGGCTTACACAGGGCTGACAGTTCAGCAAAGACCTTCTTCTTCAAGGTCATATCTTCAAACACTGCTTCAACCACTAAATCCACACTTGCAAGCTCCTTTGTGGAGGAGGAGAAGCGGAGTTTTGGTCCTGCTGGAGTTTGGCCACGCTGCTGCATTATGGATGCCTCCTTTTCCAAGGAGGAATTTATTATCTTCTTTGCAACTTCTAGCTGCTTGGGGTCTGACTCCACAGCAACCACAGGGATCCCCACCCTTGCAAAAGAAATGGCAATGCCACGGCCCATTGTGCCCAAGCCTGTGGATACAGAGGAAAACGAGGAAACTGTGATTACCTGGTACTGTGAGCTGGTACTGGTCCCTGGTAGAAGGCATCTGTGGCAAAGTGGCATTTTAAAGGCTTGAGCCGGGGATAGAGCTGCGGCTCACTGGCAGTGTGATCACACGAGGCCCTGGCTTCCATCCCTAGCATCACTGACTCATAAGAACATCAGGACTGGTGAGTGAACACAAATGCATTGAATAGTTCATGCGCTGTTAAGTGCTCCAGAGAAAATGACAATCAGAATTCATGCACGTACATACACACGAGCTATTAAAACTAATAAACACATCCAGTGAAGTCCCGGGATGTAAAATCTGTATATAAAAGTAACTGCGTTGCCTTTATTTATGATTCCTGGATATTCTGCTATACTCACAGACTGGTGCCTACCTCAGCTGTCATCAGGGAGGCTTCATGCAGCGACTGATGGAAACAGAGGAGACCCACAGCCAAACACTAGGCAGAGCTCAGGGAGGAGAGATTGTAGGAGCCAGGGGGGTTCAAGGACACCACAAGAACACCCACAGAACCCACTAACCTGGGCTCATGGGGGCTCATAGAGACTGAATGGACAACCAGGGAGCCTGCATAGGACCTATCTAGGCCCTCTGTACATATGTTCCAGTTGTGTAGCTTGGTCTTCTTGGTGGAACTCCGAACAGTGAGAGCAGGGGCTGTCTCTGACTCTTTTCCACGCTTTTGGGACCCTGTCCCTCCTCCTGGGTGGCCTCATGCATCCCTAATACAGGGGAGGTACCTAGTCTTCACTGTAGCATGCTATGCCATGTTTGGCAACTTGCTAACCCTGGGAAACGGGGGAAGAAGTGGACAGGAGGGAAGGTACCGGGAGGGACTTGGAGGAGAGGAGAAATGGTTTGGGATGTAAATAATAATAATAACAATAATAATAATAATTGTGGGGATGCTCAACTTGTTGCATGGAAGCGCCCAGCATCCCAGATCTAAACTCTGATAGTCACGAGCTCCAATCAGGGGCTCTTAACTACTAAGCCATCTCTCCAGCACTGAATATATTTCCACATATTAGCAATAACCAATCTGTATGAAAATAAGAAAGCAATTCTACCTACAATAACATTAAAAAAAAAAAAAGAAATACACTTAAGGAGTGCATTTAACAAAGGAGGGCTTGTTCAATAAAGCCAGTGAAACCCTATTGAAGAAAAAAATGAAAGAACGGCCAGGGTGTTTGTTGCTCAGTGTCAACGTGCTTGCCTAGTGTGCACAAGGATCTCAGTCTGATACCTAACGCTGACAACAAGAAAAGAAAATAAAGAAGGAAGGAAGGAAGGAAAGGGGAGAGGGAGGGAAAGAAAGAAAAAGAATAATAATAATAAAAAAAGACCTAAATAAATTGGCAGTCGGCCAATGTTCAGGGACCAGAAAAAAATTTAATACTGTTAAGATAAATATCAAATTAATCTGTAGAACACATACGAGCACTGTACCAGCCCAACTTTTTGCATAAATTAATAGTGGCTTCTAAAATTCATACAGAAGTGCAGGAAACGTAGAAGAGTCAAAACAGTATTTCAAAGAACTGGAAAAGTCACTCTTCCCAGTTTCAATAATTATGACAAAACTGCAGTGTTCAAGGCAGTGACCAGATGGTGTACGCAGTGGGTCATCACTAAACCCCACTCTTACCCCCTATGGTGGACAGGACTGCCGCAGCAGCTCAACGGTCCCTAGAGCTGACCTGCAGGGTGAAGAGGGTGCTCTGGTAAGAACTGACAAGAGCTAACTTGAGTGCCGTGTTCAGCAAAGAACTTAACATCTAATAGCATGCCCGAGGCAGGTGACACAGCACCCCCTAGGCAGGTGACGGGAAGTGTGATGTACTTACCAAGGACGCCAACTGAGGAGACTGGCTGAGCGGATGCTGTTTTCCAAGATGCCCCTGAGGGAACTGACCACTTATTTGCAGATCTTTCAGCGAAAAAGGCGTACTGCAGGGCCTTCGACTGCCCTGACGCCTTCAGGTACATAAACAGCTTTTCTTCCTCCTTGATGGCCACCTCGTAGGGATGCCTCACGGAGGCCTGGATGGAACGGACACACGTCTCTGGCGCCAGGCGGCCGGGGTACTGCTTTCGCACCTTGGCGATGGCATCGGCGAAAACACTGTCCATGTTGGGCAAGCTTGGCACTGGCTTGTTTAAGATCCGGCGGGGCGCTAAAGGTTTATCTGAAAGGAGTTGTGAAAGGTTAGGACGCTGCAGGGGTGATGAAAAGGGGACAGGATGGCACAACAGAGCAGTAGTGTGTGGCGCCACGGAACCAACCAGACACTGTGAATATGATAGTTCATGAAACACCAGTCCCCAAATCTGCTATCTTAGTAACTTCAGACGGCAGAGCAAAATCTAGGAGATCAAAAGAATTAAGTTACTAATTTAGGCACGTAAGGTGCATTCTCTTTTTATTCTGAGGTCAAGACAACTTTATAATGGATTAACTATTAATCTATCAGTGAGTGCAAAGAGTGCAGCTCTTAATGTCATATGTTCAAAATTATTCAAAATAATGACAAATACCGCAATTGTGACAAAACCTTTAGAAAATACCGTGACAGACAGGCATGGTTGCAGGAACTGACAATGGGCTAGATAATAGTTCATTGATAAGCTCCTCCAACCAGTCTTTGAACAGAAATAGAACTGCTAAAAATGGACCAAACATCTGGGCAAAGGGCCTCACTATACAGACAAGAACAGGGCATCAGAGGGCAGCACGGTGGTATATGCTTCCCATCCCAGCACATTCCAGTGTTGAGACAGTGAGACAGAAAGACTGAGCATTTGGCTAGCCTGGGCTACAAACTGTCTCAATAACAAAACCCAGGGCTGCAGAGATGGCTCAGCAGTTAAGGGCGCTGGCTGCTCTTCCAGAGGACTGAGCTTTGCTCACAACTACCTGTAACTCCAGGGCCAGGGGATTTAATGCCCTCTTTGGCCTTTGAAGGCACTGTACTAATGTCTACAAACCCATACAAATATACACATAGTTAAAACTATAAAATATTAAAAAAAAAAAAACCAAACCCATTAATTCCCTAGAGCATCCTTTCCTGAGCTGAGACTCCCAGACGGATACCTCCTGTGCCCCGACCTCAAATCCAGCACTCAAACCAAGAACATGAGGTGGGGACCAGGACTTCTCACCCTCGGGATTGCTAGGCTGCTAGTCAGGGGCAAGTGGAAGGAAGTGACATTTTACAAGCCCTCCCTTCCTCAGGGGAGGCAAGGACTTCTACTTGGCTCTGCTCTATCCCTTGTTCCTCTGTAGCCTGGAAGGTTTTCTCTGTTGGGAAAATCAAGATGTTTAAAATCCTCAGGCAGCTCTCCAGGATATAACAGGGATGAGCACAGCAGCTCCTCCATTCCCTCCAGATAAGCCCTTGCTCCAAAATACTGACTGAAATGAGAACCACTCTCCTCACTCCTTTATATCTTTTTTTTTTTTTTAGCTTTTCAGTTTAGCATTTGAGTAGTGGATTGAGTAGTAGGTTGCAGGCTACATGACAGAATATCATAACAAAGTTAGAGAACTGTTGTGCACCAAAACTAGCTTCATAGGAGTAAATTCACACACACGTATGAATACAAATGTAACAATGGGTTCGTTGTTTATGGACCTGACCGTCAAGGCAACCCACCAGTTTTGTTTTGTTAAAGGACTACATATTAACAGCTGCATTTAAAAGCAGATGAAAGAGAGAGAGAAGCGAGAAAGCACAAAAGAAGCGTAAGATGGAAATGAAAACTATGCATTGCTAACTGGTGTGCTTGGTGAGCTAGGCCACAAACAGCACCAAGATGCTCCTAGTTAGACCACTATTGCTGCCGACTCTTCTGCTGCTCATCTATTACATCTGTCGGTCTTCGACAAGCAAAAGACTAGATCTCATGTAGCCAAGAACGGCCTTCTATCCCACTGCCTCTACCTCAGAGAGCTGGGATTGCAGGAGAGAGCAGTTTCGTGGGCTGCCGGGACTGAACCCAGGGACCCCTCCATGTTAGTCAAGCACTCTATCACCCCCAACATAAAATACTAAGATTTCAAACAGTTGTGTTCAGGTAAAGCAAACAAACAAAAACCCAATAGCGATAAAAGTTCTACCGTTTTCCATGGGATTCTATTCACTGACGCCCAGAAGAGACACAGCGGATGTGCTTGGTTGTAGCAAGGAGCAAACATTGAGATCTCAACAAGCACCGCCTTTGTTTTCTCAGCATATGGCCAGATGTCAGCTACTTTGGTGGAGCACTTTCTTTTTAGACAGAAAATGAAAAGAGGACCTATTGTGATCCATGTGGCTGAGTGGAGAATAAAATATGGATGTTTGGTCCAGAGGCCATTTCTGTATCAGACTGCACCCACCAACGTGCTGGGCACGCCTCTTCTTTTCCTCAGCATAAATTCGATGGCTCAGATAGTAGGAAAATAACACTATTTTCAATTATTTTAGTATTACTGTACGTACATGTGGACACACATGAACATGTGTGGGTGTGTACTTGTGAGGAAAATGTGTGTCTTCAAAGACCACTGACGATCCAGAGTGGCGACAACCTCATTGTCCATCAGCTAAAGAAACTATGGCTCAGTCACACTACAGAAACTATGGTTCAGTCACACTACAGAAACTATGGTTCAGTCACACTACAGAACACATTTCAGGCATGGAAAGCAGTCAGTTGCTACCTAGTATAACACAGGTGACTCTCAAAAACACACTCGGTGAAAGAAGCCTTGCACAGAGCCCACACTACGTGGATACGAAATTCTAAAAACAGAAAGCTACCGTGTCCTGGAGTTGGTGAGTGTCTGCTGGGTGGCCAAGCAGAATAGAAGGCATCTACCAGAAGGAGCCCATTCTCTTTGAAGTGAAAAGTCTATCTGCCACTACTTGGTGACAGTAATCACACAACGGTAAACTGTGGTGGACACTCACCAAATGCTACACTTAAAAGGAATGAATTGCACTGTTCCCAAACTAAGCATCAAGGAAGCTTAGGAAGCTCAGGGAACATTGTAACTATTCTCCATCTGGATTACTGCCTAAGTGGAGAACTGTAAATAAGGTCAATTGTGATCTGTACAATGAAGAAATACATAAGACTGAACAAAGTGAAAATACACCTAGAAATTAGCACTATCTGGGGAAACTAACATAGCCTAGGGCAGAAAAAATTTAAAGCAAGTGCTGGTGACATTAGAGTTCAATGAACCTCCCTACAAAACAACAAGCAAACAAACAGAAAACTACACCACAATAAAAGCAAAAACCATACAGTAACTTTTGTGAGGTTTTTTTTTTTTTTTTCATTTGCCATTGTCTCCTTAGGATTTTTGAGTCTACTCATGTGAATTCTAACTAGCTATAGGTACAAAATATAGGCAATTATTTATGGCAGTTTTTTTCTTCTTCTTGGAATTAGAATCAAACACATGGCTTCACTCTGTAAGTACATATCAGACATTTGAACATTTGTACATCACAAGCAAGTTTATACCTCTCCAGCCCCTCCTCAGGACAAAAACTGCCCCCAGCCATTCTGGGTTTATGCAGCCTAGGCTGTATGTTTTAAAGCAGACGGTGGCTCGACATTAGGGTGCCACCAAGTGGTCAAGATTTGTGGTGTTGCTGAGACCAGTTGTTTTGTTTTATAAACTTTGGAATTTAATGTTTAGAATTAACTTTAAAAGCTGCAAGGAGCAACACCCCAGCCCACAGTGTAAGTGTGGTTGACCTTGCTCCTTATCCTCTGCCTGAAACTAACTCTCAGAGCAGAATTCAGGGAAACCAGGGAAGGCCGGAACCTTCCATTGAAACACAAACTAAAAACAATAGTGTGAACTTGATTCCAAGAATGGCCTAGGGCGCTGTCTGCAATCAGATTGTGTGAGTGAGTATGCACAGGCCCGGTCCTCCCTGGAGCACAGGGACACAGAGTGCCACCATCAAAACACTGAAACCCCAACCAGCTAGACCAAAAAAAAAAAAAAAAAAGCGGTCCCTGCCAGGGGCAGCTAGAGATCTCTCAGGCACATCTTGAGCCTTCTGTGGCAGTAAGTAGAGACTAGCACACACTCCATTCTGCCTGGAGCCCAACAATCCTCTTAAGCATTTTTGTAGGCAGTTTTTAGCTTCTTTCTCCTCAGTTAGAGGATGCAGCCTCCACAAACTTTCCCGCAGAAGTTATTAAGTGGTTTCTCCTTCCGTTGAGATTTTCTTGCAGGAAGGCTATTGGGAACTGAATTCATCTCCTACAGTTATGTCATCAGCCACAGTTTTAATTGTTTTCTAGCTTAAAGGCACAGTTTTAAGTAAAAAAACAAACAAACAAACAAACAAAAAAATAAAACAGTGAGCGGATCATCTGTAGGAGATGCTAAAGGCATGCTTGAAGGAATACCACAGGTCTGCAAAACCCAACAGAACACGCCTGTCCAAGACAGAAACTCCAGAGGTCATGACCTCTCTGGAAGCCTTGTAGGCCCAGTGGACTGGCTACATGCTTGTTCCTCTGTTTCAACTTTAATTCTACTTTTCAACCAGAAAAACACACGTAGGGCCTAAAACCCCCAAGGTACAGCAGAATAAACTATAAGCCACCTCCTTTAAACTTCAGCAAGTGTCCAGCTCTGCTCCCAGAAGCAGTTCTTCACTTCCTGTGAATGCTTCCGGAAGACTCTGGGCACAGACAGCAGTTACACTCACTCATCCACTCTCTCCCTCCCCGCCCCTTTTTTGGTTACACCATTGGCAAAACACCACTTACAATAATGTCCTTTTCATTACCTGACACAAAACACCATGGAGTTTACGCCAGCTCAATACAGCATTCCAGCATGGATGCCCCGTTAGCTACTTAAGAAGTCCCTTAGTGGAATGTACCTTTGGCTTATTCCTAATCGAATGTTATTTCTTTGTTTTTGTTTACCCATAATCTTCTGAGCAAATGTGATGGCTTCTTCAACTGGGTCTGACTTCACAACTTCGTCCAGAATGCCAAGCTTGAGTGCTTCACCTGCTAAAATATGTCTTCCTGAAACAAAAGGGGAAAAAAAATATCAAAGAACAGTGTGAGGATGAACTGGGGCCTTGCTTTTTCTCCTGGGTAAGGCTACCATTCCTGGATACACCAATAAGTAAGTAAGCAAAATGCCCAAGGCCAACCTGACTGCTGCAGCCAATGTTGTGTTTTCTTGAGATAGGGTCTTACTATGTAGCTCTAGCTTCCCAGGAACTAGCCCAGGCTGGTCTCAAACTCAGGGATCCGCCTGCCTCTGCCTCCTGAGCGATGGGATCAAAGGTGGACCACCATGCCCAGGCTGGACTGCTTTGGTTGAACATCATTACAGATATAACCAAAACAAACAAACAACCCTTGAATTCAAACTGTAGCTCTGATTCTTACTGTTACAGAAATCCCAGGGAACTGTACAGATTTCATAGCTGATAAATGGAGGTAATTATGCTTGCCACAGTAATTCTGAGTGTTAGGTGAAAGGCAAGTGGCCTCTTTAGATACTTACAGAGGAACAGAACTCCACAAGTCTCTATGGAAGCATGAGAAATGGTTGGGTTTTGGATTGTAATTGAAGTGGTGGGCCACAGAGTGGCAGTGTTCTCTGCCTGAACCTACCACCTACCAGGAACTATACTGATCAAGAAAAGAGATAATCCCATCGGGCAAGGTGCGACACGCTTGTAATCCCAGCATTTGGAAGGCAGAGGCAGGCGGATCTCTGTGAGTTTGAGGCTAGCCTGGTCTACAAAGCTAGTTCAGGACAGCCAAGGCTACACAGAAAACCCTGTCTTGAAAAACAAAACAAAAAGCAAAAACAAAGAAATGAACAAAAAAAATAGAAAGGGAGAGAGAAAAGGAAGGAAGGAAGGAATCCCCAAATACAAACCTAGTTGGCTGAACAGGGAAAACGGTATTAAATTGGCATTCCACAAAGTATAGTGAAAATTACATAGAAGAAATCAGATGGAGTTTTGTCTCTTTTTGGTTACCTAGCATCTTGACCCTGTATTAGATTATGGACTCTTTTCTGGACAAGCTTTGCAGCCCTGCTTCTGGTGGAGGCTGAGAAGGAAGCAAACACCTTCAGACAACTGCTCCTTCAATGCCCTGGCAGGCAGGTGAGGTCCCTAATCCAAGCTTGGTGGAACCAGTGCTGTGCTGTGGGTTCTTCTGCACCTGCTTCATCAACAGCCTTCCAGGCCCCCTCATCCAGTGAGGAGGGTGGGGCAGGCAGGCGGTGTCAAGTGTCCTCTAGAGAAAGACACTTGGGTGAGCGTATGTGAACCTCCTTACACAGGTCAAAGAGACCAAGGCATGGAGAAGTGAAATCTGGGCACTATAAGGATCTCTGCCAACAAGGCAGGGAACGTGAGCTGCCCATAGAGCTGCTGCCAAGATCTTGAGTCTCACAGGAAGAATATCATGGCTATGTTTCCAGTTAGTGCCCTAACAAAGGCCCAGGTCTGCTCCAAACGGCCAACACACAAGGCCCCGCGTGCTCAACCCAAAGCCTCAGCTGTGGCTAACACTTCTCTCTTGGGCCACAGGTAGTGTAGGTGGGGCCTCTGCCTAGCAGGCTGTGGCCCAAAAGCAGTGAAAGATGAACTGCAGGGAGATCCCAGAGTGACCGGAGCAGAGACTGCCTCTTCCGTGCTGGACGCTGGTATGTTCCTTTCCAAATTTCTTCAAGATTTTTTTCCAAAACTTAACATTTCAGTGTCTTCATGGGACCTTCCAGAGGTATCGTTTTTGTTTGTTTTGTTTTGTTTGTTTCTTCTAGACAGTTTCTCTGTGGAGCCTTAGCTGTCCTGGAACTCTGTAGACCAGGCTGGCCTCTGTTGGGATTAAAGGCATGCACTCCCATGCCCAGCCCCGAGATGTCATCTTAAACCCAACCCCCAACCTGGTCACCAAATCACAGTCTACTCAAGAAGACAGGCGTTGATTCCTGTGCCAATTTCACCTCCAATTCAAGAGGTTTTGCTATGCAAATCAAAATCTGTCATGCTTCTGTTTCTAGTTCATCTTTTGCTGAATAACCTGCCTCACGTGCTTTGAGTTTCTGTAGAATGCTGAACTACAGGCATTCTCTGAAGAATTCCAAAATCACTTCAAATACTTCATGCTCCTTCATTAAATGATTTGTAACCTGATTATTTGAGTGAATTTGAATTCAACACATGTAGTTTTTGTAATTTTCCTTTCACACACCTCATTTAAATGGACAAAGCTATTTTTAATTCACGTAGACTATTGGTTTCTAGGTTGGCCTGTGCACATACTCTTTTTCTGTCAGTTTTTTTTTAAATTAGAGCATGTAGATTTCTATTATTAATCCTAAAAAAAAGTCACGCCTTCACATTCTTAGAAATTATGAAGGACTCCAAAAGGCTGCTATTTACATAGGTTGGATCTGTCCATATTTACTGTAGTGGAAATTAAAACGTGAACCTTAGAAAGGTTTCTGAATGAAATAATTTTAAAATGGTAAGAATTTCATTACATGTTAACACAACTTTTTGCAAAAATAATGGAATTTTAAACCTTTGCTATATTTACTGCCCGTTCGTCAGGATGTCATTTGTAAGTGGGAGCCTCATCTTAAGTTTAACTTAGAAAAAGACAGCAATATCAAGCTAGAGCTAATGAACAGGGGATTCACACCACATTGAAGAAGGGTCTGAGCAACTGTGTTAACCTACACAATCTTTAACTCACCCTCCAGTGGAGACTGCTACTGTGCACACACTGAAAGGAAAGACAGCCCACAGGCTCATGATTAACCACGCTTATTTGAAGCAAATACTTGTATATGTCCTGTCTTCCAACCTCACCGCAACTGAAAGTCAAGTTTTGGTTCATCTTCCCAATTCAAAAAGAAAAACTTTCATTTCAACTATTCTCTCTCTCTTTTTTATTTTTTTACTTTTTAAAAATTTATTGTTTTATTAATTACAATTTATTCACTTTGTATCCCCACTGTAGCCCCCTCCCAATCCTATCCTCCCTCCCTCTTCTCCTCCCATGACCCTCTCTAAGTCCACTGATAGGGGAAGTCCTCCTCCCCTTCCATCTAACCCTAGCCTATCAGGTTTCATCAGGACTGGCTGCATTGTCTTCCTCTGTGGTCTGGTAGGGCTGCTCCTAACTCAGGGGGAAGTGATCAAAGAGCTAGCCACTGAGTTCATGTCAGAGGCAGTCCCTGTTCTCCTTACTAGGACACCCACTTGGACACTGGGCTGCCATGGGCTACATCTGTGCAGGGGTTCTAGATTATCTCCATGCATGGTCTTTGTTTGGAGTATCAGTGTCAGAAAAGACCCCTGTGCCCAGATTTTTTTTTCTCCTTGTGAACTCCTGTCCCCTCCAGATCTTTCTATCTCTCCCTTCTTTTATAAGATTCCCTGCATTCTGCCCAAAGTTTGGCTATGAGTCTCAGCCTCTGCTTTGATACTCTGTAGGGTAGAGATGCCTTGAAAATGAATAATTCAGTCATTGGTACCTAAACTTGAAAATTCTAGTTTTAATTCTATTGGATATTATACTCACCTGCCAGCCTGCTCTCCTTCTTTCCTTCTTTCCTTCTTTCCTTCCTTCCTTCCTTCCTTCCTTCCTTCCTTCTTTCCTTTGTTCCTTCTTTCCTTCTTCCCTCCCTCCCTTCTTTCCATGTAACTAAGGCTGGAACTGAACACACTATATGGTTGAAGATGACCCTGAACTCCAGATCTTCCCGAGTCTATCTCCTGAGTGCTAGGATTATAGTCACAAACCACCACACCCTGTTTTATGCAGTGGACCCTGGTTTTATGCCAAGGAAACAATCCAGGTTTCACACATGCTGGATGAGCTCTACCACCTGACAGCCCCAGACATTACACTTCCTAAACCAGGTCTGCCTATGATGGTTGCTATATGAACACGCGTAGTCTATGAATAAAAACATAAGCTGCAAATGACCTCCAATTAGATGAGCCCTTTGCATGCACTACTGTTGAGAAGGCTCTCACGGAAACCTTTGGGAAGTGCTCAGGAAAGATTTTGCTTCTGTTTTACAGATGACAAAGTTTGGAGTCAGAGAAACTAAAATAGCCTCCTTAGAACCTATGTGAGTAGTAAGTCACCAAGACAAGATTTCTAGATGCTGATCTGGTTCTCTACATCCATCCAAATCAAGGCTGAGGTTTCCACTGACCTGAGGTAATCAGGTCGAGAGCAACAGGAATTCCAACGACTCTGGGGAGAAGCTGGGTTCCTCTCGCACCAGGGAGAAGCCCCAGTGTGACTTCTGGAAAGCCAACATGAGCCTAAAAGACATTAAAGGCAGAAAGGCCACCACATAATGAGACAATTCGATGAGATCTTAGGCAAGTGTGCCCAGAACTTCTCACACCATAACAAGAGCCTCACTGAAATCCGGAGAAGTCTCCAGAGGGCACACAGTGTCTGCTGTCTCCTTTAATTAACATCTTTCCACACATCCTTGCTTGGACACACTGTTTTTTTTTTTTTTGTTGTTGTTGTTTTACTCTCATTTCAGATAATGAAACAACCTCTACAGCTTTCAGGGTGGTTCTTGCAAGCATCAGAATGTGAAGACAAAACCCAGAGGAGAAGAGAGAATGATATAGAATTTCTCCTATCTCCATGCTACAAAGAGCTTTCAAAGCTTAACAATTAAAGGATAACCAACTAATAATGGGCTGATTATCCGAATAAACAGTGCCCCAAAGAAAGGACACAAATGGCAAATAGCGCTCAATATCATTAGCCGTTGGGGATGTAAATGCAAGCCACAATGAAACACATGTGCGCCTGCCAGAATGAACACAATAAAAAAGGCAGGTGGTCACTTTGGCAGCACAGATACTCAGACCGGAACAATACAGAGATGATTGGCATGGGAGCTGCCAGGGATGACACACACGCTCATGAAGCCTTTTATCCTTTTCAATAGAGATGGGAACACTGGGGTACAAGTAATTCGAAGGGGGAAATAGGAAAAACGGGGGGAATTTTAACTAAGGAAGAGAAAGGAGCTATTAAAAAAAAAAACAGAAGAGGGAGGAGGATAAACTAACAGCCAAGATGTCTGAGAGAGTCATAAGTGTTGATTACGTATAAGACATCCGAATCTTTATCGATCGGTACAGATAAAATGGTATAGTTTCAATGGTATTTCCCCATCTGGGTTGACAATAGTATGACAAAAGTCACAGACTATTTAGCAAAAACTCCAACACCAGGTATGAGAAGTGCCTGTCATGATTATCCAAGAGGCTCCAAGAACACTATAGAATATTGCTGCTAGCCTTTGGCTGCCTGCCAGAGGTGGATGTTAAGTCCCCATTGATGAGGACACATGCACTTCCGAAACAGACCCAGAGGCCGTGAAGCTGGAGTTGACCTGAAAGCCTCTTCTCCAAGGACGAGCTTTCATGGTACTGCAAGCTTCCGAAACAGGGAAGCTACCAACAGTCTAAGCTGGCTTCGATGTCTATGAACCAAAACAGGAGCGCAGGCGTGGCACCCATATCTTCATGTTAACCAACAGCTCTCTAATTGGACTTAGGACCCGCTCAATCAAAGGGAAATTCTGGTACTGAAAACCTAGCCAACTACATGGCTAGCAATGTCATAGATCTTACAACGTTCACTTTACTAAACAGCCAAATCCCTAAATACATTGTAAGTATTTGTCCTAATCCCCACAGGTAAATGTAGTCCTCACCCCTCATTAAGAAAGTGTTTCTTTGTAACAATTGAAGTCCATCACAGAAAATCACAACTAATCAAAATGTAGAGTTGTGGAGCCCCGTCCCCATGGAACATCTACAAAAGAACCCTGGAACCTAAGGCTCAGGGAACAATGTGGAAGAAGGGGAGGGAATCAAAAAGCGGAGCACCAGCACTCAAGATGCACAGGACCAGTCCCTATAAGTCAGCTATTCAAAGCCATCAGCCTCAGGCCCAGGCCACAGTTAGAGCTCTGAAGACATGGCCCACCCTAACTCTGCCCCTGGGAGCCTCTTACCTTTGCATTGGCAATACGATAGTGACAGCCCAAGGCCAGCTCTAGTCCTCCTCCAAGAGCCATACCCTGGATAGCCGCCACCACTGGCTTCTGGAATCTCTGTACTTCATCCACCAGACTTCCAAGTGAAAGGCCAAGGGAGGGAGAGCTGAAGCCATGGATATCAGCACCTAAAGACAAGAGGAGATGGTTCAGAAGGACTAAGCTTTGGTCACCAACACAAGGGGGCAGCCAGAAGTAGAAGGCTCAGATGCCTCGGGCTGGGAGGCGCTCTATTCTCAGAGGGTAATGAGAGAAAAATCAAATCTTTACCGGGAACCAGGTAACAAGGTGACCTTCCAAATTCTGTGTTCCCATTGGGTGGAGAGAAGCTCCAGCTTTGCGGAAATGTAAAAGCTCAGAAAAAGAACTAGGTTTTTTAAATAAGTCTATCAGTTTGAGAGTTAGTGCCTCTCGAGATTTACCAGCCTGTTTTAGAAGAATGCCATCCTTTCTTCACTAAGAGCCATTGCAGTGTAAAATGCAAACTACTTGTGAGTTATGTCAGTAACCAAGTTAGTATTGGTAGATTTCCTGAAGTATTTTAAAAATGATTTATTTATTTTGTTCTGTGGGCATGGAGAGCATGCAGTGCCTATGGAGGCCAGGAGAGGGTGTTGGATTCCCTGGAACTGGAGTTACAGATGGTTGTGAGTGGCCATGCCATCCCAGTGCGAGTGGGAATCAAATCCAGGTCTTCTGCAAGAGCAGCCAGTGCTCTTAACCACTGAGCCACCTCTCCAGCCCCTGATAGATTTCTTAGGAGTAATTAAATTAACATAGCTTGTCTCCCTGGATTATTAAAAAATGATATAGGAATTGTGAAAATTAAAAACCCGTACAAAGCCAACAACAACAAACAACCACCTAAATATCATCACACAGAGATAAAGTTGAAGACTTCGGTGAATTCTTAGTCCTCCCACACATATGCAAATGGGTATGTAGCCTGAGCATGCTATTTAAATTTTTATCTCAATGCCTATCTTAAGTAACTTGAAGTTCATTTTTAGCAAGGAGAACATACTGTAAAACCTTATTTTTTTTTTTTTTTGTCTTTACATGACAGTATAGGTAATTCCTATAGCATTTCCACATGGCATCATGTATTCTTTGCCATCGGTAATCTTGGCATAAAATTTAAAAATGAACTATTTCAGGGATGAAAGTATAGCTCAGCTGCAGAAAAGCCCTGTGTTTACTCTCCAGGATTACAAAAAAAAAAAAAAAAATCAGATTTAAAAAATAATTTTTATTACCTACTTCTTTCCTTTTCCCGCCTAGCCTAAGCTCACACAGGGGGGAGGGGCACCTGCAGAGCAGGCGTACCTCAGCTGTTTACAGCAGCAGCTATGGGGCAGTAAGGCCGGAGCAGAATGTTCTTCAAAGGCCACCGTCCTGTCTCGGTCTCTCTAGGGACAGACATATGCCTTCCTTCACCCATGACGCTTCTCACAGGCAGTGCACCGTGGGGTGTGGTCTGAGCATAATCCTAGAGCTAATGGGGAAGATTCAGACACTACCCACCTGCACAGAAGGAGCCATTTGCTCCACAGATCACAATGGCTTTAATCGTGTAGTCCGACCCAGCTTTCTGGAGTCCATCTCTTATTCCCCTGATTACAGCTGGACTGAAAGGAAGAGAAAGTGCCATAAAGCAAATTAGTCAAAACTAAATTTCTACCATCTTAAAGATTTTTCTTTACTAATGAGCAATTGAACCATTATGATGAATAAAAAAAAAAATACAGATCGTTGTCATGGAACTTTCACTATTTGTTCGAGGGCTAAAATGTCTACTGTCAAGCGCTGAGCTCATGAATCTACTTTAAAAGCAATATTATTTTCCTCCACTGTGCTCTAACTTTGATCATGAAAAATCATTGGTAACCAGCTTTAAACATATTATACACGCTAACGCAAGTACAGAGTTACCTGACAGGTAAAACACAACCGCCACGCAAAGCGTGCGAGATGAGTGCTGTGGGAAAATAAAAAGGAGCCAGTGGCAGTGTAGGAGTCTGGAAGGGACAACATTTCCTTCAGTTGCTCATACTTGGAAAAAGGGGAGACTGTCCGGGACATGAGGCAGACTGCTAGGTATTTCAAACACCCATTCCTCCTCACTGTCTTCTAACTGTTTACAACACCTGCTTCTTAGCTGGCTCCATGGTGGCTGAAAGTAAAGACTACATTTCCCAGCATGCTTTGCAGTACAGGCTGCCCAAGATGCTAAATTCTGTATCTGATAAGTGCACCGTTCCTGGCATGTTTTCCTATTTTTTTTTTTTTTTCCTTTCTGCTCCTAGCAAGAAGGCAGATGAGATGGCTAGACAGAGTATCCTTCTACCAAGACGTAGAAGGTAGGTACCAAGGGTGTCAGGACAAACACTGAGGATTGGGGAGCTATGCTCTGCTGTGAGAGAAGCTGTTGGTCTTTGTCAGTTCACTGTCATTGAGAGTTTTCTGTCTGTGACAGCTAAATTCCACCCTCATTGATATAGGAGGAGAGGAAAAAAGAGAAATGTTGAGCAAGTACCATCACCGTAGAAGCTTTGCCCAGGTTCAGTAGATGAGGGAGGCAGCCACAGAAAACACAGCTAACCTCACAGGAGGGTGACCATCCCAGATGAACAGGGAATGCGAGCCGAGGGTACACCCTCCAAACCTGTCCCCACTCAAGAAGTAGGGAAGGCTCAGCGATCCCATTCAAGAGCACTTGTCACAAGACAAGGGAGAAATCTGCAGAGGGGATTATTAGCGTGGTGAAGGCGGGAACTTGGGAAACTCACGGGCTGCAAGGAAGACGGCAGAAAACTCTGACCAGTTTTGTTTGGAATGCTGTGTATTCTGGGTAGAACTTTCATTCTTATATGTATGAATTTTAAAACCAAACTGTTACAAAAGATGTGCTAAGACCAAGAAGACGATGATCCATGGTGTAGCATAGATCCTCACCTTATGCATGATAATTACCTTTCACCCAGTTACTTTTTACCTAGACACAATCAAATAAAAACTCACGCTCCTGACTCATTAATAGGAAACAGAATAAACAGAATCTGAGCCATTACATAATAATGAGAAGTCCAAAGGGCCGAGCAGCTGTCCTGAGGTATCAGGGTGGAATGCTTCTGGGACATCATGCCCCTAGCATAACAAACACCCTTACATGTGCAAGTCCGGCAGATAAAACTCTGCAGCACTCTCACACAGCTCATGCAGACCTGCATTTCCAAACTGTTCATAACAAACCATAAAATACACTCCCTGCACAGGCCACAGTGCACTCCTTAGGGAATAATGACAAGAAAAGAAAAACGTGGCCTCCTTGCGGGGAACTCAGCTGCTGTGGATGGAACACTATTCTCTCTCTGTGGGTAAAAGACAGGTATAGGACCCACACCAAATTGTTTCCTTCTGGATGTCCCTTTCCTGGGAGTCACCGAGGAGAAGGCTAACAATGATCCCCTCCTCTTTTATTCATATTCCTGTTCATTTCAAAAACAGGGAATAAGAAAAGTGGATACAAACATCAGAGCTTGAGCAGGGCCAGGTAAGGGGCATCACGGTGTCTCTCAGGCAGGAGAATGGACTCTGAGAAGAAATGTGACCCACGGCCTGCTTCACCGCAACAAGCCCTTTCTTCCTTTGGCATTATTAAAACAAACAACAAACAAACAAACAAACAAACAATCAAAAACAAAAAACAAGCAGAAAACATCTAAAGTTTACTGAATCAAATTTGTGCTATTTCCAAAAAGAAAATAATTAATAAGAAAATAAAAGACACTAAACATATGAGGTTAGGTTTTACTTTCAAGAAACTTAATTTTAAGCTCTGCATTTTTGCACATGTGTTTGTAGTTGCTAGGGAAAATATGTGCTCTCCTCTGACAGAGAGTGGAGGTTTAGAGATGCGAAGGGTGTTATTCTGGGCAAAGATATAGGAACACCCTCCTTCTACACAGGTCCTAGACTTTGACTGGAATAGAAAGAAATCTGGGAAAGAAAACAGTGAAGAATTTATAATGAGGTGGGGGAGAAAAAGAATTATTCAAATAATAGCTCAGTAGGTGGCTCTCACCTTTAATCTCAGCATCTGGGAAGCAAAAGCTTGTGGATTTCTGTCTGCTTAAGGCCAACCCAGGCTATATACTGATGCCTTGTCTTTAAAAAATACTCAGTAAGCTAGAAAGATAATTTTCCACAAAAGTTAAAAATAAGAGATAATAAAAATTATAAAACAAAGGAAGAGCTGGGAATATATTCACTTGTTGAACAAGCAGAACCAAGGGAAATCAGTGAGAAAGACCTTAAAGCAGAACAACAAAGTCCTTAGGGAATAAGGGACATGACATCTCTACATGACAACAGTCCCTTACCTACTTACTTTCCACCCTTTCACTGTCTGCTTTTGACTGGTTAACTGGAAATGGAATCTGACCACGAAAACAGACTATGAGCTGTAACATTACAGCTGGTATGCGGACCCCTCTAAAGCCCATTCCAGATTATGAAAACCCCGACATGTGGAGGTCTGTTATATGAAAGGGTGGCTCAGCAGCATGAAGCCTATGACCATCGCCCTCCCTGGAAGTATCCTGGGAAAGGTGATTATACATAGATGGATAAAAGCCTCTGCGTTTATCAGAGCCTCAGGCACCCTGGGGGTTGGCATACGTTTTCATCTGTGTTGGTTGGCTGAATGACTTATGGGAGACCCAGGGATTCAGAAGGCCATTGTATTTTTCTTCTGGGTAAAGAATGGCAGCCAGTGGTGGCTCTAATCTGTAATCCCAGCACTTGGATGTTTGGGGGAGAAGGACTGTCACAAGGTCAAGGCCAGCCTGCATTACAGAGTAAAGCCTTGTTTCAAAAATCCAAAGCAAACAACACCAACAAACCCTCAGACAACAATGAAAGACTGGTCTCAACCAAAATCACCTCACTCTGTGCCATGAAGAAGAGACTGGCTTTCCTACCCCTCCCCTTTCATAGATTCTTTTGGTAGCAATGAAAAACTTTAAAACTAGAAACAAAGAGAAAGGATGAGCTGCTGTAGTGAAAATGTTGATAGTAGATGTAGGCCCTGAGCTACCACAGCTGAAGGGAAGGCCATGGGTGGGGATGGGACGTGGAGGGACAGGGGCTGACAAAGAAGTCTTCAAAATAGACAGCATTTCCTGAGTGCTGAGCAAATGCTTAAGCTTCGGTCACATCGGCTGTTTTCCCTGTGAACAGTATTTTTTTTTTCATTGAAATCAAAGTTCATCAAATCAAGTATGAGGCTTATAAACCAATATATATATTTTTCCAAAAAGGGGGGAAAAAAAACAGTCCCAACTAACCTCTAAAGTCAGCTTTGGTTCAGAAAACTGGTTTCAGTAGTACCTATTTTGTGTGCATGTCTTCAGTTCAAAAGTAAGGCATGAAGTTTTTAAATATGTGGATTATAGGAGCAAGTTTGTGTGTGTCTGTGTGAGTGCACACGGGTGAGTCATGCCACACCAGGCCTGGTAACCAAGCCAACACCTATCTGGATTCAAGCAAATGTGTCTGGCTAAACTCAGTGAAGGATTTAATCTATTTCTCTGGGTAAATCCTGAAACTACTCCAGTAAGCATGTTTATGACAGTTACCTTTCCCCTAGTTAGTTTTCAGCCTTGAGCCCAGAGAAAATAAGAGAGAACCCCAGGCTTGATGACACAGCTTGAGAACGGTTTCATAACATTTAGAAGTCCACAAAGCTTGTGCGTTTCCTCTGCATCCATCGGAACAAGGAACCCAGTGGCCCTCTCCCTCAAGGCACCTAAGTCCTCATCTAGTGAAGAGCCTCAGAGAAGTGAGATAGTATTCATAAACACACACATCATCTCTAGACTACAGTAGCCCGCAACCTGCAAATGCTATGTAAATATTTGGTAGGTGGCACTGCTCAAAAAATAATGACAAGGAAAAACCAATCTCCGTGTTCATGACGGGGCCCTCCGTGGTGGATGTGACTACTTTCTCACCCAAGGATGGCTGAACGGCAGATGTGGAACCCAGAGGCTGGCTGTTTTCCTTCTAGGTACCATGTGACTCCAACTGAGCCAGGACAACCTCCATGGTCCACTGGGGGAGAAGGAAATGGCTCAGAAACAGCCACTATGGAGGAAGCATTCCTCCTGGTTGTAAAGGCAGTGAACCCTGAATTATCTGAACAAGAAATTGAATCCATAGAGGCTTTTTTTGTGCTAATTGTTCTTTGAAAAACTTTAGTCACCTCATAGATACCAGGAATTGTTGCATTTTCTCACTCAGCCCCCAGATGGCTGCAGTCAGAAAGGAATTAGACCCTAGGAAAATGGTTATAACTGATAATAGTCCTATTAAATTCAGCTAACTGAGATGTTCCAACAAGGTAAAGGCTCTGAGTTAAGAAAGCACCTCTGCCCTCAACCCCACACCCCTCCTCCTGCCCCTTACAAAAAGCCAGATGTGTCAGTGGAGTCTACAGTGATGACAACATTAATTGGCTGAGAAAACAGCTCAGTAGTTGCCACAAGAGCAGCAAGTGTGGAGACCTGTAAGTGCCAGGTGGGTGTGGAGGCCAGGAGACAGGGGGTTAGGAGCAAGCTGCCAACTAGACTGGTGAGCTCTGCCTCAGTGAACAAGGTGGAGAGTAATCCAGGAAGACTTGCAGCGCCAACCACCGGCTTCCACACTCATACAGGGCACATAGGTGTATGCATAGCTCACACACACATGGACACTTGAACATGCATTCATGAACACCACACCTATGTAAACACGCCAAAACAAAACAAAACAAAAACAAGATAACATTTTTGTGAATGCTGGCTTTCATCCGGCAGCTTCTTTGACCATAGCAGGATTTCCCTACTCAGATTTTCTTTCTTTTTTCTTTTCTTTTCTTTTTTTTTTTTTTTTTTGCTGTTGTTACTTAAACCAAACCATATCAAATCAAATCTGTGACCTACAACTAGGCTTTTTTTTCCCCCCAGAGAAACAGAAGTAAAAGCAGAATATTTCAAAATCTATAACAATGGCTCGGCTTCAGGAAATTCTGTTTTCAGTTCTGTATTTTATATGCACGTATGCATCTTCAGATTTTATGTACTTAAATTAAGTTTAAGTTTTTTTTTTTTTTTAAAACTAGGTCGATTATAATAGTAAAAAAAAAAAATGTTGGAAAGCATTACTTTGTGAGACAGGCTCAGTGATCAGCCATGATCTACACTTAGGAATAAACATGACTTTCCAAGAATGGAGAGAAACATGGCCGCCTGCTCCAGCAACAGAGATTTTAATTGGATGGGAAGACAGAGAATTAAAAAAGTTACCATATCACATTCAGGTAGGAAAAGACAGCTTCTTGAATAAAATAAAAAAGAAGAGAGAGAGGGAACGAGGCCAGAAAAGATTTTAAAAAATAAAAATTAAAGTAAAAAACAACAACAACAAAAAGGAAGCTGTTAAAGTTGGTGAACAATTTACCTAAAATTAAAGTTCAAAATAAAACAGATAGGAAAGTTCAGGGTCTAAGAGGGAAAAAAAAAAAAAAAAAAAATCTCAGCCTGGCAGTGGTGGCGCACACCTTTGATCCCAGCTCTCTGGAGGCAGCAGCAGGAGAATTTCTGAGTCGTGGCCAGCCTGGTCTACAGAGTGAGTTCCAGGACAGCCAGGGCTACACAGAGAAACCCTGTCCCAAAACAAACAAACAAGCAATCTCCATGAGGCTGAGGCAGATGCTGAGAGGAGAATTCTGGAGGGGAACGATCACAGGCTGCTCAGAGAGACAAGGAGGCATTTACAATCTCCATCTTAGTTAACCCATACAACTTTTTGAGAGAGATACTTAATTTCTCCTGAGTGGGGAGGGATGGAGCAAGCCAAATGCTAGAAACATATCAGATAGCACCTGAAGAATTATGAGCTGTGGGACATTTCCCCCTCACCTTTGGTGGACATAGTGCCCCATGAACAGAAAGTTCATAACAGAATAATCCTCTGTCTAGTAATCCTGTCAGTACAGGAACACCCCAAACACACCTCACATGGCTTATGCTTTCTTTGGGAAAACAAAGGAAGTGACCACTTCCTGGTTTCTGGGCTGAGATTAAGAGTGAAATTGACATGATAGTATTTTGCGTCCAACCTGCAAAAGGCCAGAAAATGGACAAATTTGCATGTGATTTGCATGTGAACTATGTGTTAGTGAAGGCCATTCTTCACCTTAAAATAAGTACAGTATTAAGCCAGGTGTGGTAACCCACACTTTTAATCCCAATAGCTGGGAGGCAGTCTCCTCCCAGCTGGTGAACTAGCTGGTTCACCCAGCTAGTTCCAGATCAGACCCTGTCTCAAAAAATAAATAAATAAATAAATAAATAAATAAATAAATAAATAAATAAATAAATAAATAAATATTAATAATGAGGAGAAAAATTTGTCTCCGTGAGCACCAGGCACACATGTGGTACACAGACATACACGCAGGTAAAATATACATAAAATAAAATAATGTTAAATTTTTAAAAATAAAATCTAATGGCACTGTGGTTTAAAATCTCAGTTAAAATTAACATCTCTCTCTTTTTCTTATTGATTTCTTTTGAGATGGTCCGAATAGACCAACGCTTCCTCCTGCCTCAGCCTGCTGAACGCTGCTATTGTAGTTGTGTGCCAGTCTGGCACCGACGAAAGTTACACAGTATCCGTCACGATCCGGTCCACCCCGAGGCAGTAGGCTAATAGAGAATTGTGCTCTGTTCGCCAGTGATACAGAATGGACAAGGTAAATGAACTTTTTCTTCAGAAAGACGGCAGATCTCCGTTTTAAAAGCAATGTGCTAAGTGCACCGCGCTGTGGAGTAAACCTAACTCTAGCTTTTCGGAAAATGCTGTTCAGTAGGCCTCCTCTGACAGGCAGGGTTGACATGCATGGGGACCGTACTCCGTGTTTTTCGGGTAACTATAGCTTTTCGGCTTCACGGAGAAGCTGGGTTTGCAAGCGGTCAGGTTGCAGGGAAGGCGCTCCGCGCGCCAGCCTCCAGGAACCAGCCGGATCAACAGTGGGCAGCGGAAGGCCGGAGCCAGCTGCCCATTGGCCTGGCAGGGGGCGAGCCCCCACCCCTCCCCGCCACACCCCGCTGTCCCGGGCGCTGTTACCTGATGGCGTTGACCGGCGGGTTGCAGAGGCGGATCAGCGCCAGAGAGTGGGGCAGCCTGAGATACTCAGCCATTGTCTTGTCACAAGGTATCCGGCAACTCTAAGGTCTGGGGCAGCCCCGGGCTCCTTTTCTGGGCCGCCCTGAGAGGAGGGGCGCGCGCTGGGCCAATGGGAGCCGCCGCCCCCGCCCCCTGCCCCGCGTGCTCCGCAGGGCGGGCGGTGCTCCAGAGAGGGTGGTTCTCCCAGGCTAGCCGAGGGCGTGTCCAAAGGCTAGCCCAGCCGCTGGGTCTGTCTGACAGCCAGGGCTGTCAACTACAGGTTCACAAAACAGCCATCTGCCAGGTCGCGAAGCCCCGACAGATTCCCTGCTTCTGTCCCTCCTACGGTCTGGGATTTTTCATACATCAGCCGCGCACTGCGCACATATTGTGGGCTGGACCTAGGCCGGAGACTGACAATAAACCTGTCTCTTTCCTCTAAAAGCACAGCTGGACAGGGTCCTACCGACAGCTCGTGGCTTGTAGCGGTTGCCAAAGTCCAGCAGATACCCAGAAGACAGTGTGCAGGATGACAAGGAAACACACTTGTAAGTCTTCACTGATGTTTCACAAGTTTTGACAATGTCTAGAGATTGCTTCCAGGAGTGATCTTTACTTCTTGAAATGAAGAGAGGAGCTGGCTGGTAGAAAAAGGCTGAGCGCCCTGGCAGCCCCGGTAACAAGCAGCGGTCATTCCAGTTATTGGTAGCCCGCGTGGCAAGAACAGTCAATCACTCAATCGCTGCAGGTGCCAGCGACGGCAGTCTCGTGGGAGCAAGCACCTTCTTACCAGTGACGGCAATCTCCAGCTACTGCCTCTAAAACCAGGCCTAATGTGTAGGCTCTAACTAGTCCCCAAACTCGCCTAAGTGGGTTCTGTTGGCGGAAGTCTTCCTGGCCAGCCCAGGTCTCTCCCTTCCTATAAGAAGCATCGCCTTCATCTTGGACTCCCCTTCAGATACGGGTATACAGGAGGAAACACTCTGTCACCGCATCCTAGGAACTTGAACAGGTAGAGTTCAAGGTTTAACAGCACCGAGTTCAAGGTTTAACACCCCACCCCTTTGGGGCAGGGGTGGATGATAAGCACCCTTTGGAGCCAGCTGGAGACACTTTGTAACCTCCACCTTGGAGGAGTCAGTCACTGGCCCTTGTGTCCCACACTTTGGTTCTAGTTGAGTACAGCTGTGGTGTTTCCCCCAGAGGGCTTGGTGCAAGCTTCCATGCAAAGACGTTAAACTGCATGGCTGTTTAGGCTTGGCTCCTCAAGAGGAGCAGAACCAGCGTGAGGCAAGTGAGGCATTTAGGGGACAAAGTTCACAGGGCAGTTACAATCAGGTTCATCCAGTGCTGACCCTGCCTGCTCCTCGAGGGCTGTGGACGTACTTGTTATCTGTGTTATCTGGGTTCTTATGCCTCTACCTCCCTTCCAGCCCTTATCCACCCTAATACCTTCCAACCCTCAACACTAGGTAGGAGAGAGAGGTTAGTGGAGAGAAGGGGCGTAGGTCTCTTTACTACTTCCAGCTAGTTAGGGTTGTTGGGTTCTTTGGTACAATAGCAATCTCAGTCATCAGGATATCTATCATCAGCAAACACAGAAGGATGAACCAGCAACAGCACAGGTAGCAGCAGCCTTCTTTTTCCTCGGCCTCCTCGGCCTCTTCCTTTTTTTCCCCTTCCTCTCCTTTTTTCCCCCATCTTCCCCCTCCTTCCTCCTCCCCTCCTTCCTCCTCCCCTCCTTCCTCCTCCCCCTCCCCTCCTTCCTCCTCCCCTTTCCCCTCCCCATCCTCCCCCACCTCTTCCTCCCCTCCTCCTTCCCCTCCTCCTCCCCCTCCTCCTCCCCTTTCTCTTTCTCTTCCTCCTCCCCTTCCTCCTCCCCTTCCTCCTCCCCTTCCTCCTCCCCTT